TTCAAACAGAAATCTTATTCCTTCATTTTTCAACAAAATATTCTAAATAGTTGCTACATATATATATACCAATTTTCAATTGTTCCCTTTTCAATGCAAGAGCAATTAAACCCCCGTGAAGCCCCACCATCCCCCGACTGAGCCGCCTGGAGGGGCTGGAAACCGGCTCCCGGAACCCGAGTTAACTGGGTGGAGGTTGTGGGAACCGGAGTGCGGGCAGGGGGGCCCAGGGGTTGTGGGCTCCCTGGGGCTCCAGCCCAGAGCTGCAGAGCTGCAGTCAGTCCGGGGCGTGGGCCGCTGCCCCCGAGGGGGGTCCTGACGGGCTCCCGTGGCCGTTGCAGGTGGCCCACATGAAGAGCAAGGACAGCCGCATCAAGCTGATGAACGAGATCCTGAACGGGATCCGAGTGCTGAAGCTCTACGCCTGGGAGCTGGCCTTCAAGCGGAAAGTGCTGGAGATCCGGCAGGAGGAGCTGAAGGTCCTCAAGAAATCCGCCTACCTGGCGGCCATCGGCACCTTCACCTGGGTCTGCGCCCCGTTCCTGGTGAGCCTTTCAGGGTCCTCCGGGGGCTCCCCAGCACCCGGGAGCTGCAGGTGCGTCTCCCTCCAGGTGTGACTCCGCCTGGCCTGCTTGTTCCTAGGTTGCTCTGTCCACCTTCGCCGTTTACGTGTCCGTTTCGGAAAAGAACATCCTGGACGCCCAGAAGGCCTTCGTGTCCTTGGCCCTCTTCAACATCCTCCGCTTCCCCCTCAACATCCTCCCCATGGTGGTCAGCAGCATCGTGCAAGTGAGGGTCTCCCGGCTCTGCCGCTTTGGAGGGGGGGCAGCAGGTCTGGCCAGGGGACAGCGGGGGCTTTCGGGGGGGGGGCAAGTGTCAACCAGCAGGACAGGCTGAGTCCTCCTTGGTTGAAGGCTTCAAGCAGAGACTGGACAATCTCCACAGTCCCCCCCCCAGCTCTGCCGTTCCGGGGTGGGCAGCCCACAGCCCCCCCCTCCCCCGGTTGCCCCCAGAATCTCAGGGCCGAGTCTCAGGAGGATCCTGTCTCTTGGGCTCCAGGCCAGCGTGTCCCTGAAGCGTCTCCGGGTGTTCCTGTCCCATGAAGAGCTGGACCCCGACAATGTCATCCGAGGGAACCTCCGGAATGGTGAGTGGAGCAGCATCAGCCAAGGGGGCCCTCGGTGTCGAGAGCAGCTGCCGGATCCCCCCGCCCCCCCACACACACAATTAAATCCAGCATTGCTCATTGGTATCTTCCAACGTCTGCGCCCTCTGCACAAGGGTTCCCAGTTGTGGGGCCTGGCGGTGGAGGGTGGGTGGGAGAGCCCAGAAAGGCGCCCCTTGGAGAGGGCCAGAGGGGCCCCCCCCCCCCCGGCAGGCGCTGCCCTTGGCCACCTCCGTCCTGCTCAAGGGCGCCTTTCCTTTTGCCACTGGCTAGCGGGCAGCAACAGCGTCAGCGTGCGGAGTGCCTCCTTCAGCTGGTCACGGACGGAGCCCCCCGTGCTGAGCAGGTGAGACCCGGAAGCCCCCCCCCTTGCCCCTCCCGGGGGCTTGGGCTTTTGGCTCTCCAGCCAGGCCCCCAGAGGTGGCCCTGGAGGGTCCCCCCGTTTTGCCCCCTTCCGGGGGTCGAGGCTGAATTGGCGACTCCTCTTCTTGCAGCATCAACCTGGCCATCCCGGAGGCCTCCCTGGTGGCCGTGGTGGGGCAGGTCGGCTGCGGCAAATCCTCCCTCCTGGCGGCTCTTCTGGGGGAAATGGAGAAGCAGGAGGGGCACGTCTCCCTCAAGGTGCCCCCCAGATGGGCGGATGGAGAGCTTGGGGGGCTCATCGGGTGGTCTGACAGAGGGAGGGGCAGCTCTGAGGCCCCTCCTGCTTTGACTGGAGCGGCTCCCTTCCTCGGGTTTGCAAATAGAGGAGGGTCTCATTTCCCCAGGGTGGGGTGGGGGGCATCTATGATGTCCTTCAGCCGAAGGGAATTCCCTTGCAGGGCTTCCTGGGGGGGCTGCAGCCGCCTTCCCCTGGTGGCAAATGTGGGGTCTCAGGGCAGCAGAGGGGGGGCCAGCGGTGGCCTCCCTGGAAGGGAAATTCAAGGGGGGGGGTCTCCTCTTGGCAGGGCTCCGTGGCTTTCGTCCCCCAGCAAGCCTGGATCCAGAACGCCACCTTGATGGAGAACATTCTCTTTGGGCGGGAGCTGAACGGGGGGCTCTACCAGCGGGTGCTCGAGGCCTGTGCGTTGCTGCCCGACCTGGAGCTCTTCCCTTCGGGAGACCAGACGGAGATTGGAGAGAAGGTACTTGGGGGGGGGGGGCACCACCCTCGCTTCTGGCCAGACCAAAGCTTAAAATCTCTGTGTGGCGCCATTTCCCTCCCGCATCCCCTTCTGGGGAGCCCCTCCGTGGTGCTCCGGCTCCTGCCCGGCCCTGAGGGCGCTGCTCTCTCTCTCCCGCAGGGGGTGAACCTGTCGGGCGGCCAGAAGCAGAGGGTCAGCCTGGCCCGGGCCGTCTATGCCGACACTGACATTTACCTGCTGGATGACCCCTTGTCGGCCGTGGATGCCCACGTCGGGAAGCACATTTTCGACAAAGTCATTGGGCCGAAGGGCCTCCTGAGACACAAAGTGGGTGTGTGGGGGAGATGGTGGGGGGGGGGTCTTTCCGCAGCCTCTGGGAACTCAAAGGGCAGAGGGGGGGGGGCTCATCATCCCCGATCTTGTTGCCGCCTCTTTGCTCTTAAGCTGCACTGGTTCCCTCCAGTGGGCACCGTGAGCACCTCTGTCCCCCAGCCTCCCTGGTTTTCCCTCTCCCTTCGTGCCCCAGACCCGGATCCTGGTGACGCACGGGGTCAGCTACCTGCCGCTGATGGACACCGTCGTCGTCTTGTCCGAAGGCAAAATATCGGAGATGGGGTCCTACCAAGAGCTTCTCAAGCAAGACCGGGCCTTCGCGGAGTTCCTGCGCACGTACGCCGGGGCGGATCACAGTGCGGCTGGCGAAGGCAAGGAGCGGGCAGCGGCCGATGTCGGCCTCCCACCGTTGTACGGGTGCTCTTGTTCCCCTGCCCCGTTGCCGCCTCTGGGGTTGCTGAGATGGGCAAGACCGCCGGGGTTCCTGTTGAGCCATCTTGGTGGGGAAATCCCTCGGACGGCTGGGAGGCGCAGCTTCCGTCCTCTCCGTCCCTCGGTGGCCTCCTGGGGTGGCTCGCCTGTCCCTTCTCTGCCCTTTTCCAGCGGTTGTTGAACGGGTATTTGTTACTAGAAGCCGGCTCGGTTTATCCAACTGGCCGGTTGCTGCGCAGAGTTGTGTGTGTGAATGGGTGCCCTAAGCATGCGGACTCCGAGGCCAAAGAGGAGGGGAAGGGGCCGAACCCTGGAGGGGCTTCCAGCTTGTGCTGGTCAGAAATTGAGTTGGAAAAAAATCTGTCTTGTTCCTAAATCGGGGTTTTCAGACTTGGCAACTTTTAAGTGTCCGTTGGGGAATTCTGTTAGTCTTGAAGTTGCCAAGACTGGCCTGACCGGCTCATCGGACCTCCGTGGTGGTTTGGATGCTTCTCTAAAAGTAATTTGGGTTGCTCCTCATTCTTGGGTTCAGTGCCAGTCAAGGGCTGGAGCTGCCCCTCAAACCCTTCGTGGGTCTTGAAACTGCCCAGGTTTCTGCAGAGCCTTCAGGACTCAGGTGTTGTTGTTGCCCAAATCGTTGCTCCGCTGGGCAAACAGCTGCTGGGCTTGCCAGCTGGCACTGCAGAGCCGAGGCGGGTTCATCTAATGCCCTGGAAACAGAGTTGCTTAATTGGGCGTTTATAAAGCTAATAAAAATTCCACTTTCCTTGATTGTGGGAAGTGGGCGGGGTGAAGGGAGCCCTGGAAGTCGCTGGCTTAACTCTTGCGTGAGGCTCCCAGATTGAATTGCCCTTTGCAGACTCTCCTTCAACAAGCCAGCATAGCTTAAGAGGGAAGAGCTTAGCTTAAACCACCTTCTTCTTCTTCTCTTTGTTCGTTCTCCTCTTTCTTTGGATTTGTAAAGAGCATTTTGGACAGAGGAGGGTGGAGAGAAGTTATTAAAATTCCCAACAGCAATAGCTCTTAGACTTATATACCACTTCTCTAAGCGGTTTACAGAGTCAGCCTCTTGCCCCCCAACAATCTGGGTCCTCATTTGACCCACCTCGGAAGGACGGAAGGCTGAGTCGACCTTGAGCCTGGTGGAAGTCAAACTGCCAAATTGCAGGCAGCCGGCAGTCAGCAGAAACAGCCTGCAGCAATAAAAGCTCGATAATTCCCATCCCCCCCCCAAAAAAATTCTGATGACTTGTATTCTTTGCTAGGAGAAAAAATAATTGTCCAAATTCTCACCGGATCCCCCTTCAGCGAGTCGATTGAAGCGAAGAGCTTCAGTTCTTAAATCCCTGCAGGGACGCAGACCCTCCCCGTCCAGAGTAGAGGACAGGGCCAGATAGTAGCGGATTTAATTGGGAATCTCTCCTTTGCTTCGGCCCTTCCGTTTCGTGCACCAACCCTCTTTTTAATTCCTGCAGAGACCCCCGGTCTGGTCCCAAAGGAAGAGAAGCTGCTGGAGAACGGGGTCCTCGCCAGCGAAAACTCGGTCCAAGTGAGGAGGTGGGCAAGGGGAGCAGCCCTCAGGGGGGAGGGGCACGTCCGGGCGCCTTTTTCCCAGAGACTTTGAGTTTCACCTAAGATAGGAACAACACCCCCCCACCCCACCCATTTGCTGCTCCCCTCCTTCCCTGGCATCGGCAGGTGCCTCAAGCCCTCCTGGGGCCTTTCAGTTGCTGGCTGAGGGCTCTCACGGGGAAGGGAGGGGGTCTTCTTTGTCCTGGAGGCAGAATCTGCTCCAGCACAGGGAGGAACTTCCTGATCAGCCCGGTTTCTCCTGCCCTCCCTGCTGGTGGGGATGCAGGGAAGTCCCTGGGGCGCCCCCTTCAGTGGGCTGCTTCCCAGGGGCTTCTGCTGCTTTGGAGGGCGGAGCGCTCAGCCCCTGCCAGGTGTCCCCTGCCACGATCCCAGGCCTTTGCCCACACGGCGGGGGGCCTTGGATGCTGGGGGAGGGGGCGCCTGCGGGAGATGCTCTGAGCATGGGCAGAGGGCTCTGGGCTGGGCGAGAGCGCTGCACGAAGCAGCCACGCAGCCCCGGTTCAAGCATGGCATGTGGGCCTTGCAGGCAGCTGAGCTGCTCCTCGACCTACAGCAGCGACACGGAGAAGTCCCTGGCCCAGAACAGCCTGGCCCAGGCTCAGAAGGCGCCGGACGGCAAGAACACCTGGAAATTAACCGAAGCGGACACTGCGCAGACGGGGAAAGTGAGACCCCAGCCACCGCCCACCGGGGCTTCCCCCTTGGCGCCCGTTTAGCCCAGGAAAACTGGCTCCCTTTGGAGTTGGGGGCTGGCCGTAGCAACTCCTGCCCCCAAAAGAGGAGCAGCAGCAGCCTTGGAGAGGGTGGGGGGGGAAGGGGAGGGGGCCGGAGGGGGGGCTCAGTGGCTTCCACTGCCGGAGCCTGAGGGGGTTTGGCGGAGAGGCTCTCTTTCCAGAGGGCGTGGATGCGCCTGAGGGGGATCCAGTGGCTCTCTTGGCTGCCCTGGCCGGCCTTCGGAGGGCCGACGGTCCCTTTATTTGGGGATTAGGTCCAGGGATTAAAGGGATTCCTTTATTCAGGGTTTTATCCGTATTTGTGTCAACAACAACTTGGCCCAGTTCTCTCCTGTGAAAAGAAATCACAAGCGCCTGACAGTTGAAGGAGCCACTCGGGGGGGTCGAACTGGCTGTTTTCTTTCTGGAAAAGGCTTCCAGCTGGCCCAGGCTCCTGGCGGCCGTTCGGACGGCTGGCCCCAGGCCAGGCTCCAGGGTCAGGTTCAGCCCTTCACTGCTGCCGCCAAGGTCGTGTCTGTTTGCCTTTCCCCACTGGGAGATCGTGAACTGGCCGGCGGAGACAACGCAGGGCTGCCCTCGCTCTGCCCGCCTGGATGCCGTCTTCCTTGGCCCCTTCTCAAGCCCCCCCCTCCCCCCCGGGCAGGGAGGTTGGCACTCGGGGAGAGCCTGGCTGGTGGAAAGGGCACCACTGCCTTTGTCCTCTGACCGAGCGCCTGCAGAGTGGCAGCCGGGGGTGGCCTCCCCCCCAGATTGAGAGCAGATTTTTTGGGGGGACCCAGAAGGAGAGACGGTGGCAGCTGTGGCCATCTCTTGCCCTGGGCGGAGGGAAGGAGCCGGGATGGGCAGAGAATGGCAGAGGGAATTGGGGGGGGGGGAAGAGTTGGAACAGGATCCAGGAGCAGCAGGGAGGCCCCCCCCCAAAGCCTCCTGCCACCAGAGAAGAAGGGGGTGATATGGTTGGGCAGCAGATTTCTGGGCCTGGGGGGCAGAAGGGTCCTGGGGGCGTGGCAGACCTCTCTGATGACCGCCTTGTGTGTCGCAGGTGAAGACGACCGTCTACTGGGAGTACATGAAGGCCATCGGGCTGGGCATCGCCTTCCTCAGCATCTTCCTCTTCCTCTGCAACCACGTGGCCTCCCTGGCCTCCAACTACTGGCTCAGCCTGTGGACAGACGACCCCGTCCTCAATGGGACGCAGCAGCACACCAACATGCGCCTGGGGGTCTATGGCGCCCTGGGAATCTCTCAAGGTCTGCCCCTTCACCCCCCCCCACCCACCCCCAGGGGTCCTGCTTCCTTCTGGCCTGCAGCTGCCCTGGGGACAATCCCGGGGTCCCTGCGTGGGGAGGGAGGGCTCCCCTCTTCCAGGGTGTGAATCCTGCATTTTGCGGGCAGAGATCTGTGCCGTTTCTTGAAAGGGAAGGTCTGTTGGGGAGCAGGATGCGGTGAAAGGGACGGGAGAAGAGCGGGGGGGTGGGGCTGTGTGCCAGGTGTGGCCTCGTCTTCTCCCGTCTTCACCCCAGGCGCTTCATAGTCTGCCCAGCAAGAGACGCCTGGGTGCCCTGATCCTGTTCCTGGGCTGACAGCAACCTCAGAGCTGGCACAGGGCTGGGTGCCCAAAGCTGGTGTCTGTGCCAGCTTCATGTGGCCTTTTGCCCTGAGTGGGGCATTTCTATGGTTGGGAAGCAGAGCTGAGGCACATCGGCTGGCGCTCTCAAAGGCGCCCTCTGCAGGGGAAGCGGGCAGGGCAGCGTCTTTCATGGGGGCGGGCGACAGCGGGCAGCCTTTGGAATCTTCCAGAAGACTCTTGGGCCCCCCCCGTGACCCAGACCTCGTGGTTGGGCTGCGTTGGCCTTCCTGGGCGGCTCCAGCCGGGCCCACCCTTTGCCCTCTCCCTCCCTGCAGGTGTGGCCGTGTTTGGCTACTCCATGGCGGTTTCCGTGGGGGGCATCTTTGCTTCCCGCCGCCTCCACCTCGACCTGCTGCACCACGTCCTGCGGTGCCCAGTGAGCTTTTTCGAGCAGACGCCCAGCGGGAACCTGGTCAACCGCTTCTCCAAGGAGATGGACATCATTGACTCCACCCTGCCGCAGGTCATCAAGATGTTCATGGGCTCGCTCTTCAACGTGCTGGGCGCCTGCGTCATCATCCTGCTGGCCACGCCGATTGTAGCCGTGGTCATCCCGCCCCTGGGCCTCATCTACTTCTTCGTGCAGGTAGGGGCCCCACACGGCCCTCCCTGGGGCTCCCTCCCTGGCCCCGGGGCCCCCTCTGACGGCCTCCGCTTCTCGTGCCTCCCCAGCGCTTCTACGTTGCCACCTCGCGCCAGCTGAAGCGCCTGGAGTCGGTCAGCCGCTCCCCGATCTACTCGCACTTCAACGAGACCCTGCTGGGCGTCAGCGTCATCCGTGCCTTCGGAGAGCAGAAGCGGTTCATCAGGCAGAGCGACCTGAAAGTGGACGAGAACCAGAAGGCCTACTACCCCAGCATCGTGGCCAACCGGTAATCCAGTTGGGGGAGGACGAGGGAGCCCTGAAGCGCTCGGGAGGGAGGGAGGCTCCCTGCCCGCCTCTAACCCCGCCCTCCCTGGCCTGCGCAGGTGGCTGGCTGTCCGGCTGGAGTCGGTGGGCAACTGCATCGTCCTTTTCGCAGCCCTGTTTGCCGTCATCGCTCGCCACAGCCTGAGTGCCGGGCTGGTGGGCCTGTCCATCTCCTACTCACTACAGGTAGGGCGGCTTCAGGGAGGCCTGTGTGGTTTCAGCCTCTTCATGAGCCGGACCTTCTCCGGTGGGAGAACCATCTGCCCTGGGAGGATTGTGGCAAAATGGGGGGTTTTATAAGCATAGATAGAATGGATGTAATGGCAAAGCCTCTCGCAGGAGAGACGGGGGCTCCTCCTAGGATTGGCTGGCCGGCTGGAGGGCCTGGTTTTTCTGGCCCCTGAGAACCTCTCCTGCCCTGCTCTGGGGTCTCCCCTGCGACCTCTCGTTCACCTTAAATCCCGGCCCTGCTGGCGGCTGTCTCGGAGGTGTCTCCCAAAGGGGCCGCCTGCTTCTGCCCTGCAGGGGCTCAGATTCCTCGGGGGTTGACCAGGGGGGTCCTTCCTTTGCAGATCACCACCTACTTAAACTGGCTGGTCCGAATGTCCTCCGAGATGGAGACCAACATTGTAGCTGTGGAGAGAGTGAAGGAATACTCGGAGAAGGAGAAAGAGGCCAGTCTCTGCTCCCAGCCGCCCCTCTCTCCTTTGGGCACAGAACCCTGAAGGGGCATCCCTGGCACAGGACGGCCTTGGCCTTCCTGGTTCTCCCAGGAGAAGCTTTGGTGGTGGTGGTGGGGGGGTTGCAGCCTCAGGGAGCTGCTCAAATGCTGGAACCTCTCATAGAACAGATTCTAAGCCCCCCACTAATTCTGGGGTCCACAAGGAAGAAAGGCCTCTTCTGTTCTCGCTTCCTGGCAGATAGTTCTTTGGGATAGACTGCCCCTAAACAAGAAGGTTCCACTTGGCTAATGCTTAGGAACCCCCTGCAATTGGCTGGGTCCTCTCTTTAGAAGTCTCCAAAGCAAAACCAGAGGCTCCCTGGGCTCTCAGCGTGAGGAGGGGTCCTGTCCATCCAAGGGCCCACAGTGGCTGCGTCCCTTCTCCCGGCCGCCCAACTTGCACAGCAGCAGCGCCCTCTGGTGGCCAAGAGAGGAGGCATGGTTCCCCTTGGTCCATTTGCTGGGAATCGGCTGTTACGGTCTTTGCACCCTCCAGAAAAAACTTCCCGTGGGTGGTGAGAGGCCGAGTGCTGGGCAGGGGGGTTGGGCCCAAAGGAGGAGCCAGTGGGGGTTCTTGGGGAGGCCCCCGGGCTACGGCTGGGGCTCATGAGCCCAATTCCCATCTCTCGCAGGCCGAGTGGACCTCTGCGCCAGCGGCTGCCCCGCCCGGCTGGCCTCAAGAAGGGCGGGTGGAGTTCCGGGGTTACAGCCTCCGCTACCGGAGCGACATGGACCCTGTGCTGCGGGACATCTCCATCGTGGTCCAGGGAGGGGAGAAAGTGAGTTCCAGGCGGCCCTGGGGGTCGGAGGCAGCCGTGTCTCTTCAGGATGGGGGCTGGGAGGGGAGAGGCTTCCTGGCCCCGGGGGAGGGGCAGCAGAGGAGCTGGTGGGGGCAGGAGCTCCTTCCGGGCTCATCTGGGTCACCGGGAAGCAGCACAGATGCCGCCTGCATGGCGAGACCCCTTCAAGGTCCATCAGGAGAACCGTCTCTGCCTGCAGAGGTTGGGGGGGTTCCCTGGATATCCGTCCGGTGCTGCCCACCCATCCCCCCAAGTGGGCTTAACTCCTCTTGGAAGGAAGGCTGGGCCCTTTGCAGCGGCTTCTCTCTCTGCTCTCCGCCCTCGGCAGGTGGGCATAGTCGGAAGGACGGGGGCCGGGAAGTCCTCCCTGATGCTGGGCTTGTTTCGGATCAAAGAGGCGGCGGAAGGAGAGATCCTCATTGACGGGATCAACATTGCCAAAATTGGGCTCCACGACCTTCGCTTCAAGATCACCATCATCCCCCAGGTCAGTAGGGGCTGCCTGGGGGGGGGGGCTGACCTTCTCGGCAAGGTCTCTCCCCCCCCCAAAAAAAACACCCCTGGAGTCCCATTTAAGGGAATCACCTGGGATTGAATGGATGCAAGCCGAGAACTCGATTTGAGCCCCTGGAAAATGCAAAGCTCATTTGTGCCTCCGTGGGGCATTTGCAGCTTCAGGGCCCCCTGGAGATTTTAAGCTTCCCACCCAGGAGGCTGTTTTGGAAAGGGGGGGAAACAGCGGAGGAGCTCGGAGGGCGACCAGCCAGGCTCTCTTTCCCCCCCCTTCCTCTTCCTCTTCCTTCCTCTTCCTCACCTAGGATCCCATCCTGTTTTCCGGCTCCTTACGCATGAATCTGGACCCCTTTGACCAGTATTCTGACGACGACGTCTGGCTGTCGCTGGAGCTGGCTCACCTGAAGGCCTTCGTCTCCTCCCTGCCCAATAAGCTCCTGCACGAGTGTTCGGAGGGCGGGGAGAACCTCAGGTGCGCAGGGGAGCGGGAGAGGGAGAGCTTTTGCCACGCACAAGGGGGCTGCATGCTGGGCAGGTGCTTAAGAGCAGGGCGCGGAGCTCTGCCAAGCTTCTTTGCCTCTAAACTATGGCTCTGCCAGCCCTGGGTTAAACTGGCACTGCCCGGAAAGCATCGCTGGCTTTGCAGGAGTTCCGCACTTTTGGAGAGGTCTTGGCCGGTCTCTGGCCATGGGCCCAGCTGTCCGTCTGGGGCTGATTCACAGGCTTAAGAATCAGGAGTGATTCTGGCTGTTTGGGAACCCGAGAAGAAAGAAGCAGGTGGCCCGAGAGATGTTCAGCCTCGTCTTAACACAACTGCCAGGAGGAAAACTGTGCCTGGCGTTTACCTGCTTGGTTCTCTTTCCTGAGGGGAGGGGCGCCCCCCCTCCTCCTCCTCCAGAGTTTGCCTGGTTAGTCATCAACTCAAGGACAGGCTGACTCAGAGGCCTTGGAGATAGTTGTGTTCTCCTAATCGTGTTGTTATGGTCACACACTGAACTGATATAATCCTTGTACATTTAATACTTTCAGTGGAATAACAAAGAGCGCGTTTCTTAATATAATTAGTTCTCTTTCTTCTTTGATGTTCCTTTTTTCCTCTGGATCTTTTTCTGTTTTTTTTTCTTCCTCTTATCTTTCTGTAATTGCAAAGGGGGGGGGGACAGAGAGAAGTGAAGCTGCCCTTTTCTGCCTGCAGCCTTCTTGCAAAAGGAAAGGCAATGGATGTCTCAGATATTCAAGGAAATTGGCTTCTGACGCGGGCTGTAATCTGGGGCAGTTTCTGCCCAGAAAATGCCAGCCTGAGCCGAGCATTGCAGCCGAAATGATCAGAGTCCAGCAGATGCAGGAAGAAACAGCTCCACCCTTTTAGGAGCAGCTGTGGAAAGTCGGTTTTGAGATAAACAGAAGCCAGGCTTTGCACGCACGCGCACACACAGACACACAAACACACAGCCTTATCTGTGCTTGTGTCTGGGCAACAGGCACAAGGACACACACAGCCTCTCTCGCTTAGAAAATCCCTGTTCCACTCAAAAGGAGGATCCAGCACCTTGGTCCTTTGGCGTCTAACGTTGTCCTTTCTGTCTTCAAGCGTGGGTCAACGGCAGCTGGTGTGCCTTGCCCGGGCCCTGCTGCGGAAATCCAAAATCCTGGTTTTGGACGAGGCCACGGCCGCGGTGGATCTGGAGACGGACAGCCTCATCCAGTCGACGATCCGGACTCAGTTTGAGGGCTGCACGGTCCTGACCATCGCGCACCGTTTGAACACCATCATGGACTACACGCGGTAAGGAGCCAGGGGTGGAGGGCCACTGGCAGGGGTTGGCACGGGGCGGCCCTCGTGCGGGGCAAGGAAGACGGTGACGGATGGGGCGGTTGTCCATTTAGGGTGATCGTCCTGGAGAGAGGCAGGATCGTGGAGTGCGGGGCTCCTGCTGACCTCATCGAGAGCAGGGGCGTCTTCTGCAACATGGCCAAAGATGCCGGCTTGGTTTGACCAGGTGAAGCCGGCCTTCCCCCACCCCCACCCATGCCCAGGGAGAAGCACAGGCAGGCCGGCACACGACCCGTTCTGCAGAAAGGGCAGTAGAACAGAGGCTTCCTCCTCCTCCTCCTCCTCCTCCTCGCTCGAGAGGAGCAGCACGGGGGCTTGGGGCACAGAAGGGCCCCCCTGACTTGAAGGAGTATCTTGCTGGGATCACCGTCTGCACCAAAAAAATTATCTTATTCTGGTGATGGGAGAAAGGATGCAGAGAAGCATCTGCAGCAGATTCCGAAAAGGCCCTTCTGGTTTCCTGTTTCCTTCAAGGGTTACACAAGGTTCAGATGCAGAAGAGCAAACCTCCTCTTCCCCCCCCCACCCCCCAGGGCAGGTTCAGCCCCAGCCGCCTTCGCAGCTCCCCTGGCACTGCCTGGTCACCTGCGAAGGGAAGGGAGGCCTCTGCCAGCCTGGGAGTTTAGAAACTTCCGTTTGAATAATGTGGACCTTTTTTTTAAAGGGAAAACACTCTAGAGATCTCTTTTCATAGAAGATAATTATTTAATTTTTGTAAATAAATTTCTCTGAAGTTCAGCAGACTGAAATGTTCTTTGGTACTTTTGTAGTAAAGTTTTTGAGTTAAAAGAATGGCCCTATCGATTCCTTCTCAAGTGACCGGGGGAGGGGGAATCTCCGGGGGGGGGGGCACATTTCCACCAGTCTGTTTACAGGTAAAGTTGTGCACCAAAACTGGAAAGTGCTTTAAAGGCTCAGCAACCCTCCAAGGCCTGTGAAGCCAGGATCCCTCCTCTGTGCAGCCCCCATTCACTTCAAGCCGAGAAGGGGGTGGGGGTGGGGTCACAATTCCCATAACACCCGTTGCCTGGGCTCTGGATGAGGGGGGTTGCAGCCTCATCTTGGCAGTGCCCCTTTTGATGGTCGGATAAAGGCAAGCGGGGGGGGGGGATCTGACCAATGCCCGCCTATGAAGCCCAGTGGCCGGCACAGCTGCCCACGCGGCCCCCTGAGGAAGGCCAAGCGCATCAGAGGCCCCTTGGATGCCCGGAAGGAGGGTGGAAGGTTGCCAGGATGAACCACCGTTTTCCCCCATGCAGATGAGCCCAGGCTGGTTCTCTGCAGGCCCCCTCATCTAGGGCGCCTCTGTAGCCGCTATGGGGATGCTGCCTGGCCCCAGTTGCACCACCAGCCCTGCCTCCCTGAAGGGCACTGGCCCCACAGAGGACCCCGGCACTGGCCAGGCTCCCAGCAGAGCCCCTCCGCTTTCCCCCCACAGCAAGGAGGGCTGGGCCGGGTGTCGCCCTTTGGAAAAACTAGGATCCCCTGCAGTCCTTTTTCCCTTTTGCAAGGCGGTTTTATTTCAAAAGCTGAACAAGTCAGGACTAAGCTTGGAAGCAAATCAGAAAAAAGTTGGACTTGCAGAGCCAACATCTTTAAAGTGCTCCGGAGATTTGCTCTCTAGCTACCCCCAAAATCCCCAGGACAAAAGACCCTCCTTCCTGGGGGCAGGAAGCTGCCTTGAAGCCCCGAGTGCAGAGCTGGGCCCTGGTTGGGGTGCCGGAAGCCCCCGCTCTGCTCCCCAAGGCAGCCGCAGGGCCTCTCTCCCCCCGTTGGGCCGAACGAAGGTCTATGTTCCCTGAACTGGAACCCCTCAGATCGGGGGGAACGCCTGGCCTTGGCATCACAGCAGGAGCTTCTGCCGCCCACATTGGTGGCTCCGTTACTAGGCACGAGCCACGGGGGGAACGGTGGGAGCCAGCTGGAGTCCTGCATGGCTTGTGTCGAATGCTGAAGATGGCCTCCCTTCGGCCCTCAGAGGTTGTGCCGCACACTTGTCCTGCAGAGGAGGCCTGGCACAGAGGGGTGGCGGCAGCCTCCGCGTGGTCCTTTCGCTCCTTCGCAGGAAGCCAGGACCCGCTCATCCCACGGACGGCCGAAGTTTGGGAGGGGGGCTGGAGAGGTGGTCTGCGTTGCTCCAAAGGTCTTGAAGAGGGGCTGGAGAGGCCCAGGAGGACTTGGGGAGCGCCGTACGAAAGGGGCCCTTCCCAGCACCGGGGCCTGGATCCGCTCAGAGGCGCTTGTGGACGCCCAGGTAGGCGTTGCAGCAGGGACAGAAGTGCTGGACATCCTGCATAGCATCCACGCAGAAGGGGATCAGGCAGCAGCCCAGCCAGCACCTGCGGGGGGGAGGCAGAGAGCGGCCGGTTCATTCCAGCTGGGCAAGGGAGGGGGGAGAAGGGGAGCTGCCCTGCTTCCCAGGGGACCAACTTACCCCACCAGAGCGAGGCCGCCACAGGAGAGCCAGGCCAGAGCGCCAGGCTGGTACGAGATCCGGGTCACAATCATCTGGTTGCAGGCAGGACAGCTGATCTGCATGGGTTGGTCCAGGAAGATCAGCGGCCCCGGGATGTAAACGGTTTGGTGGGGCACTGGAGAGAGAGAGAGAGAGAGGGATGGAGGGGCGGGAGGTTCTGGGGTGCCTCCCATAGAGGCCCCTAGAACAGCTCCCTTCCCCTCCCCCCCCAGGCAGCCTCCTGCAGGCGCCACTGGGACTCACCTGGAGGGACCGCTTGGCCTGGCTGGGGTTGCATGCCATAGGCCTGGGGTTGCATGCCATAGGCCTGGGGTTGNTCTAGTCCAGTGTTTCTCAACCTTGGCAACTTGAAGTCCTGTGGACTTCAACTCCCAGAATCCAGCTATGCTTAGCTATGCTAAGAAGCCAGCTATGCTGGCTGGGGAATTCTGGGAGTTGAAGTCCACAGGACTTCAAGTTGTCAAGGTTGAGAAACACTGCTCTAGTCCATCTTACACTGAACAGGGATGCAGCCTTTCTGCCACTGTCTTTGCTTAATTCTGTTCCAGATGCAACCAGATTGTCTCTGCCTCCCAAGCAGAGATTGCAGCAGAACAAATCCTCCCCCTGGGGCTGCAGGGAGGGGCTACTACGAGGTGGGCAGAAGCTGCATTTCCCAAGCTGCATTTCAAGCCAGGTGGGCCCCTTCTAGCCCCCCCCCCCGATCGGTGATGCTGGGGCCTCCATTCTGAGTCAAGGAGCTCTGTCCCTAAGCAGGCTGCAGAAATGTACGGGGGGGGGGGAGGAACACCCCTCGCACCCGCACCCCCGGGCCAAGCATCGAGCTCTGCCACCCATGGGCCACAGGAGCTCAGCCCAGCTTTTGGGGATTAGTCCAGGAGAGCTGCCCCCAGGGGCTCAGAGCTCAGTTAACCGTTTGGCAGGAACTGGATGAAAAAGCAGGGCAGAAGGCGGTTTATTCCCAGATCTTCCTTAGGGCCGCTTGAAATCCACTTCCTTGGCTTCCAACAGTCTCTACCTGTTTGCTAAAGAGCACATAGCATGTGCCAAGAACCTGTGCCGTCTCCTTGCTGTCCGTTGCATTTCCTGCAGATAAAATCCCCTTGGTCTACTTATGAGCATCGTGACATGTCACCCATCTCTAAAAATACTCTGCCTGCCGGTTCCTGCGCATGAGATCCCAGGGAGGCTGTCGAGGGCTCTCTCGCTCAAACGGCCAAGAAGCCCCCGACCCTTTGGGGCCAAGAGCAGCTTCCTCACTGCCCCTCCCAAGTCAGGTTGGTTTCCCAGCTGTGCCAAGGTTGGATGCAGAGGGAATTCTTCCCAGCCTGTTCTGCTGGAGAGAAAGGATAAACAATGTAAGCTTCCATTACAGGAAAAACCAAAGAGGCCAGGAGACGCCTCCAATCAGGTCTATTTATGGGACCGAGTGTGTCCAGGTTCATCATTTGTGTGATGCTGCAATGTGCAAAACCAGATTTTGCATGACTCCCTTTCTCTTCACTGCTGCCTGGTGTTCTCTGCCGAAAGTGCAGAGAATTCCCCCCCCCC